GAGGCAAAGTGCAAAGAGTGCAGAAAATAGAAATCGAGTTTTTGAGAAAACAGAGCATCCGATTTGAATGATCTGAAAATATTCAATTAGTAATGATTGGGAGTAGTGGTTATTAGTTTTGGCAAAAGTAAAAAAATTGCAGTTTTTGAGAGAAATAAGCATCCGAATTGAATAATGCAAAAAACTTTCTGCTTGTGTTGACAAAACAAATGCTTTTGGATAATTTAGATTTCAATTTTAATTCTGGGTGAAGTTTTAAATCTCACGTATACGAACGTAATACGAACGTAAATCTCACGTAACGAAATTGTAAAATATTTTAGTTAAAAATAGTACTTGTACTCATTTAATACGCGCGATGCGTCTTTCAAAGGGACGCGCGGCGCGACTTGCGCTCGAAAACATTTAATATCTTCCGATGTAACAGCCATGCCATCGAATAGTAAAAATAATATAAAGTAGATAAAAAAAGAAACAATATGGTTTTTTACGCAATCGATTTAAGTCGGGGCGCCCGTATGTAAACCAATGTAAACAATCAATGTTATATTGTTAAAATAATGCAAAAAACATTATTTTTTTTAAATTACTTCAAAGTTGAGTTCATAATGAATATAATAAAAAAAAACAATACTGATCTGATCAACACAACTGAAGATAATTAACATAATGCAGAGGAAGTTCATAAAAATTGAGAAAATCGGCAATATTTCAATCGTAAATATCAACCAAAAAAAAATTTTTGCCGGCAAAATCCTGAAATACGTGTCAAATGATTTTATGTCTAATATCTATAAAAAAAATTTCAGCCAATTCTAAAATGTCACATTTTTTTTTTACCAAAATCCGTACGATTTGTAAAAGAATGACCCGTATATACTTTAAATAAATGTTTCTGACTTTGTCATTTAGTTTATATAATTCTTATAAATATTAGACAATGTTACAGTATTTATAATAATCTATTTGATAACATTTAATATTCCTCGAACATTACGTTACGGTACGGGAAGTTCCTGCAATTTGCCTTAAGGCACGGTGCCATACTTCCACTAGCTTTTTACATCATTTGATGTCATTTATAGCTATTATTAACCAATAATCATCCCGTGTAAAATTTGATATTCTTTGTTTTTAAGCAATTCATTTCATCTCAAATATATTTAGAATCGTGTAAAGTGGTCAACCAATTTTGAAAAGGTAGAGGGGGTAGAGGATTTATACATGGGGAGTTATCTTCGAACAAATGCGCGTTGCACTGTTTTGGTCCTGAGTAGTTTCAATTTTTAAAAACAGATGGCTCATGTGCACTCAATTTCAACTACAAATTGTTCGTGGTTCATGCAAGTGGCTGTCAAGTATTTGATCGCTGTATGGCTGTACGAATAACCTAACTTTTTGAACTCGTGTTGTTTCTAATTAATTAATTTTGTTTAAGTGAACATTTGTGAAATTTAATATGGCAAAGTGTTTTTATAGTACCCAAAAAAGTGTCAAGTGCGGGTTAAAATATTTAGCTATTCCAATACAAGTTTCCGCAAAGGTATTTTTTAATAATAATTGCAGCAATAATTATATATAATCAAAATATGTCAACATGTTATTATATTGAATAGGTGTCTTGGGGGTACCTGCAAATTGCTGCAAAGTGCACGAACAAAGCGCAGGAGTACTTTTGACAACCAAGGAATGCAATATGTAATGACAAGAAGGATTCATAAACAATGCAATAATTTAAGGAATAAGTCGTACAAAAAGTCTCCAAAGGTCTACTATTTTTGGAGACAAATATTTATTTTGCGATGTCCTCAAACATTGAGAAAGTTGCATTCAGAGATACAAGTGTATAGCGGTATTTATGAGTGTTTATTTAAAACATTAGGTTCAGCTATTTATTTTAAAAAGTATTAGTAGCAGATACTGTGTTTTGATGTTTGATGAAATACCATTATCTTCGGAATTGTTATATGATTGGATTGAATCTCATATTGTTGAAGTTGCAAAACAGTTATTCAGCTAGTATGGTTTAAATGTTCATCAACGTAAGTTCATTGTTATATTTAATAAGATTATCTATTACATTAGCAAATGTAAACACTTATAAAGTAAACTAGTATTGGTTTAAATGTTCATCAACGTAAGTTCATTGTTATATTTAGTAAGATTATCTATTACATTAGCAAATGTAAACACTTATAAAGAGAGTCTATACCATACATAATATTTTAATGTATTTTGATTGAAGATTAGTGTTATAATATTCTTCAAATAAAACTTGTGTAACATCCCAATATAATGTTTAAATTCAAGATATATTTGTTACCGACCTTGGGAATCAAAAATATTGCTTTTATCTTTTGATTCATAAACAATAGTATGTGCATAAAACATTATTCTGTTCATTGTAAACACTTTTTTGATCTTTTATGGCAATTTCAATGATAATGTTTTCATGATGGAACATGGCTAAATGTAATGTTATAAAACACTCGTACAGTAACTATTCAAAGGTTTTGTTAAATGCAACTTTACTATTAATTCATTAGATAGCGAAATAACTATTACATGCAGAATTAATAAAGAACAATGTCTCGTAAATGAGTTTTAATCCTAGGAATTTGAATTTCTCTCAATTTTGATATCAATATATATATTTTATGTTTTTAGGACTTTTTTGTTTGTGAAGTATTTGTACTTTTTAACAAATTATTTGTTTTTTTCTTAACCCTTTAAATTTTGTATTATTTGTCATTCCTTTTAAATTTGTAATTTCATTGCGTGCTCCTGTGCTTGTAGTTTCTTCTTAGTTTTTAAGATTTTAATATATTAATATTAGTCATTAAGTAATTAATATTAGTCAGTTATTTGTGCTTAGTTTAGTTAAATACTTCTGTGATTTTCTTCACTTAGATATTTAGTTTTTGAAATATTATTTAAGCATAATTGTGAAATTATAATACTTTTATAATTAAGTATAATAATTATTATATTTTCAAACATTCCATAACTGTAATTATAATTGTTAATATAAAAATAAATTTAATTGTTCTTTAAACATAGTAATATCTTTGAAAATATATATTTTGTATTTCGTATGATTTGTTCTTATTTCCAATATTAAAAATTATTCAGGTTTTGGGGCTGTATACGATACGTACAAATTAAGAAGTAAAACCAGGGGTAATTTAAATATTATACATGTGTTGCCATCTATTTTTAAAAATTTGTATTCCAATCGAGGTAACGTCAAACCGCCAGACATAGCGATCTATTATACTTGTTTATCTATGGATTTATAACTATTTTGTCTTTCTCTTAACGTAAAGGCGTTAACGTGTCATCGTAACGGACGTCGCATCTCACGCTACGTACAGGTGTGTTCGCACTTTTACATCCCTCTACGATTAATAGCATTTGTTTGTAATATTCTATGTGTGTCGTTAATGGTAGGCGCTTCATATTAGTTTCAACAAGTTTTTTGATGTTAAATTCAGTGCTTTAGCGGGTGATTAATGATTAAATTATTTATTTTGGTTAGTATTTTATTGAATTGGTTATTTTCCTTATTAATTTATATCAAGGAACTTTTGACAGCATTCTATTCCGTATTCGCATTGATCTTATTGCTAAACATTCGTTAACGTTCGTGTCTTTTCTATCATTTTGAAATATGCTATTAATGTATTTTTAAACTTAATGTTTGTATTATTTATTAGATTACTTGGTGAGAACGTACTTTGTTTTTTATCGATATTGTTTTGATTTAAGAAAAGGTTATGACTTGCACACGCCTGTCATAATTTAAACAATTTTTTCTGTGGCCATTTCATGTTTTCTTTCATTTTTTTACGAATTAAAATATATTTTAATTTAAATTTTTATTTTAAATTATATTATTTATAATTTCAGATGTCGGTGAAGAAATACTATTCCACAAGGATTATGTGACAGTTTCTGAACAAAATCGTACTATATTTTATAGCTTTATGAGGCATATATATTTATGATGAGGTACTTGAATATTAGATCGTCTAAGGTAAGTTGCCGCATGTTGCTCCTTTCAATTAAGTTAATCTTGATCACTTGATACAACAATAAATATGTTGTATTCTATAGAAAATTTTGCCTACAGTAGGAAAAATTTCAGTATCATCATCAGTATCAACTAAAATGATAACCTTAGTAAACTTATGTGTCATATATAAATTTTGCAACTGAATGGAGTTCTAGCCGTTTGATCTGTAATCTATTAACGGTGGCTCAATCAAGTTGACAAAGATATTTTTGTTTAGGAATAGTCGCTAATAAATGTTGCCTTTTTAATTCTGACTTTAGCAGTTAGTGCAGTGGTTTCCAATCTTTTCTTTCTTGCGTCCCCTTTTCGATAGAAAAAAAATTGCACCCTCCCTAAATTTTTTAACAATTTAATTTATTATATATATATATATATATATATATATATATATATAATCTGATATTGGTTTTTGAGCTATTCTGCTAGCTCATCATTCAGCTAAAAAACAAACAGAGTAATAAAACATAGTAACAAAATAAATAAAACAGAATTAAAATTATACATACCAAACCAGTTTTGCAAGTTATTAAACATACTAAAAATTATTTTATGTAAAATTTGACAAACCTGAATATTTTGTTCTAAAAACAAAAAAAATGTATAAATAAAATTTTGAAAAATGAAATCAAGTAATCGAATATATCGAATTCTGAAAGATAAAAGAAAATAACAATATATATTAGGCTTTAAAGCAGAGCCTTCCAAAGTGATACATCTATAAAACAAAAAAACACGACAATTCATGTAATGTCCTATTAGTAAATGCTCTTATATTTACTTGTTATTAACACTTTTGGTACGTTATATCTGGGCAAATCATTAACTGCTTATAATAATACTTAAGCCTAAGCTTTACTAGTTTAATACACCCTTAATCTGTGAACACTATTACACATGCTATTTTTGTTGTTTGTTACATATTAAATTAAGAGAGGGAGAGAGATATCAGCAATTCTGAGTCATCAATTTTATTTGAAATATATTGCAAGCTGGTCTTAGTTTGGGTGGCCCATGAACCATCTCTATCGACAGCACTGTTGTGCTGCTCTAAACCTGTTTTATCAATAGTTTTTCTTAATTCCTCTGTTTTCATAAGCTTATTCATTTCCAAAATGGAACTGTTAAATCATGTGTCTCTAGGAAACAGTCTTGCACATGCTTCGATATGTTTACTTATATTAGATCTTACAAAATAATCCACATATATGCAAAACACAACTTGCAGTTTTCGCATCTTATGCATGTTGTAGCTTAACCTCTCATTGCACATTCTCATTCTCTGTTGATTGAACCTTCTATTCTCTATGGTCAATCACATCACTAGATGAGTCTATCTGATATATTATTAATATGTAGTCTTTCATTTCTTTTGAAGTATGCGTCCTTTTCAACCTTCAAAACAGCGTCCAATTGCTTGGTGCATTTTGTTCCATAAATATGCTTCATAATCCATTATAACTTTCAAGGTACATATTTGTATTAATGCCCAAGCCTTTCCTAAAAAAATATGCCAAAGTTGTTGGTCTGTTTTTGTATTTTATTGTAAAAATATAGAGCAAATGATTTTGTATCCACATCCTGCTCAAGGCTTTTAACATAGGAGTTCATTTCTCACCAAAATTGATTTTCATCCAAAATTGCTCTAATTTCCAACAAGCAGTTAATTACAGTTACCTGTTTTTGACTGTATCTAGTGTTTGCATTCACTGCCCTCTTCCGACTTTGGGACACGTGCCATGAACAGAGTAAGTGATTATCGGTTGTGTCATGGCTGATGACTAAGCATTATAATAGCTGGTGCATTATCAGACATAAATGTTGCTGCGGCCATGTTTCCCATCTTCTCTTCATAAATTCAAAAAATATTTTAATTACTGGTTTGTCTTGGCGGTTACTGAGCAAGCAAAATGCCACTAGATTACCTGCCGCTAAACTGATCAATTACTAAAAGAGTATGCAAGTGATATCCATATGCATTCGTGCTATGGATTCCATCAATGCATATTTGCATTATGCATTATTATATATTTAATATTAGCCTGTTTGTTGGTCATGATAACTAAGAGGAGAATCATGAAAGTCAAATTAAAGCTAAAAAGCCGTCAGCCATTTGCATGGAGCTGAAAAATTGTTATTGTACAGTTCTTAAATATTTTATACATCATTAAACATGTAATATAAGTAAAAAATAAGAAATTGTTAGTTTGTGTTCAGATAGTATAAGTTCAATGAATCTTTGAAGTATAAAACTATAGTGTCAACCCCCAATTACCTTACTTCTTGAGCAACACCCGTCAGCTATGTCATTTTCTAGTGTGGGAAGGTCGCGTAGACTGGGGGTTTTAAAGCGAAAAACGAAAACTAGTGGGATATGGCATCGTAGCTTAAGGCAAATGCTGAAAAATACCTGTACCAAAAATTAAATTTTCAAAAAATATTCAATATTTTTTTTAAAACTTAAAAAAAATCAAGAATTTTGTGAATTTTGAAAAAAAATGACTTTTTTGAAAAATAAAATATATTTTTTTTTATTTAGAAATAATTGAAAACTGAAGTGTGTTAAAGTCTTGTGTAGTCGCAACATTTACAAATATCCTTGGAAAAAATCGAGTGTTTTTAACAAAAAAATATTAGTGATATGGATATATAAATTATTACAGAATAAACCTGATGATGGAACGTATCTAGTTCCGAAACGTCGTTATTAAACATCTGCAAAAAACAATTGTTTTTATTATTGGATTTATTGTTCGGAAAAGAAACATATATATATATATATATATATATATATCCGACTACTTACTAACTGTACCAGAAACCAACTAGCTCCACTAGGACGATACATAAATTACCACTCATACCACCCTCTTAAAATGAAAATAGCGACAATAAAAATTTAACAGACCACGCCATATTACTATCTGACAAAATTTTGGGACACGAACATTGACCTGGTTTATAAACACACTGAAAAACAACTCATATCCTACGACATAATCAACTCGGTCATAAATAACAGACGCAGTTACTTTTTAACAAACAAAAAGACCTCACAAACATAAACCGCTTAGACTTAGAATCATATACTGGTGTCATTTGCCTACCGTACGTAAAGATTTATATTTCTCGTGAAAAAACTATTTCAACAATGTGGCATTCTGTTGGTATGTAATTGTGATGCAGCAACCCTTAGTCAATTTACACAATGAATCTAAGTTCAATTTTGACCGCCTCAGAAATTTAGTATATCAAATTAATTGCTCTAATTGCGAACTCTTTTATATTGGAGAAACTAGCCAAAACCTGAGTAAACGCCTTAAATCAACACAAAAATAATTCAAAAAATCCTAAGCAATTTAAAACAATGTTAACTGAGCATATTAAAAATTTAAATCATAATATCGATTTTTTTTAACCCTAAAATTTTACATTTTGAAGAGAATACAACTAAAAGAAGATTCGCTGAGGGGTTGTTTTTACAATTACATAACGACAAAGTCATAATAAACGCTTTGACAATACGGCCCCTCAACGAACACACGCGGTTTCTTATGCGTGTCAAAATTCCTTAAAAAATAACAAAATCCCATCGCCTTTTAAATTTTCCACAAAATATCAACACATGCTAAAAACTGCTTTGAGAAAAATGTGACATTTCTATCCTAAACTTCGAAGAGTAAATACATAGTTCGACAACTTGTTAAGTTATCATGATTATTAGTGTGTTTACCATTTGTGATGTTTGTGTTAAAAAATATATATCTTACATGTGCACATACTCATACCATGGATTAATAATGGTTTCATATGCATATCATGATACAAAATTGTGTTTTATTACTATTATTATTTTATTGTTCTTCCATGAAATTTCCTTTCATATAATTTATTTAGTTTCAATTTTTATAGTTAACTTGATTACCACTGAATGATGGCTAGATGCTAGCCGAAACGTATGGATTTTAAATAAATAAATTTTTAAAAAAAACTCTACTATTTTTATTGATGTTACGCCCGATTATTACTCAAATTAAACATATTATCAACATCAAATTCAAGACTATTCAAAAATATATATTATATTTGTGTGTTGTGTGAGTGTGTGTTTCTGCCAGTATTAAACTAAAAACTATTTTTGCTTGAAATACTAACTTTTGTTTCTCTATTAATACTTTTTATATCGTGATCGTGGTTCTCGGACGTTTTACCATATCTTCCTCTATTTCCTTGGTGAAACCCCCTGGGTCCCATATAATTATTATGCCAAAATTTGGATTCCAAAATCGAGGTGGTGCATTTATCTTTAGTGTGGCGATAGTGGATAGAATCCAAGTTTTAAGGGTGAACGATGAGAAGATATTGGTCTGTTCTGGTTTTCCTACTGCGTTCTGTCTATGTGCCTATACAAAGAGCCGCGAATGGTTAAAGTTATCTGGCATTCTCGACAAAAAAATCTATATCTACGGCGCAAACTTACAAATAATTGATAGAATATGAAAAATATAGAATATAGTACATTCTATATTTTTTTTATTCTATCAATTTCTATATTTTTCTATTCTATCAAAATATAGAATATAGTTATCAATATTTCTATCAATTATCTTGTATGTTTGCGCCATGAATATAGATTTTTTTGTATATACGTTATAAAAAATAATTCCTAAATATAAATATAAACTGTATTGTTAGTATCTAGAAAAATCGTAACATTTTCGATTTTTTTTTTTTAATTTGGATGTTTTTTTTTTAAATTGAATAATAAAGATCCTGGCGTTAAAGAACATGAAGCTAACCTGGAATCGCAATCAAAGTGAATCCATGTTAAACTAAATATTAATTCCGCAATACTGTTGATTTTGCAACTAATAAATGAGTCTTGAGAATTTCTTGCATGTCTATACCATGTATCGCATTTAAAACATTTATAATATGTCCTTCGGTCATATTATAAATCGGTCGGAGAGCTATCTGAACTACTACAAATTGGACAGATTTTATCGACAGGTGAAATATTTTTTAAGAAAAATGAATTAAACTTCTTCTGGTTTTGATAGGATCCACTTCATAGTTAAAATTAGTATTATTTAATTTAGTATTTTATAATATGAAAACTCAACGAAAAATTATTGTATACTTGCTCCATTTCATTTGTTCTCCAACAGTTAATTATCGCAAAAGTTTTTAAAAATAATAGACTGAAATAGAATAATAGACGCTGAATTGTTTTATACCAGTGCACTTACCGAACTCTGTGATTCCTGAAGCTGAACCAAAGGTTCAAAAGACTTTCGACTTTTCCGCGGGGTCACATATGCCTCTAGAAACTGTAAACTATTGAAAACTCTGTGATTCCTGAAGCTGAACCAAAGGTTCAAAAGACTTTCGACTTTTCCGCGGGGTCACATATGCCTCTAGAAACTGTAAACTATTGAAATACCAAAGGCTTGGTTTATAAACCTGAAAGTAATTTTAAAGTTTAGTTGGGTATTTATTCCTTTATTAAATGTAATTATTAACTAAAAAAGAAAAATAATACGTTATCAGTTCCAATACCACCTTTCAATGACTGTTTCACTTTACAATTTTCAATATTGAACTGATTTTTCAAATCCTTAATTTTTTTCTGGCACTCGCCGGCAGAACTATTTACCCTTATCCAGGGCCGGTCCTGGGGTAGTCAGCGCCCGCATGCAAGATTGATTTTGGCGCCCCCTATTATTTGGAAACAGTTTTATTATTTGAGTTATAAATAAAATTCTATTATATTTTCAAATATTATTTAATTAATCTGGTTTTATTACACAAAAATTGGATATAATGGTTTTAATATCTAATTCTGCACATATATTATTTTCAATACTAATTAACGCCAAACTGTTCAGCCTATCTTGTAAAATATTAGTTCTTAAATAGGTTTTAATCAATTTCAATCTTGAAAAACTGCGTTTACCACTTGCTACACAAACAGGTAAAGTTAAGAGTATTCTTAAGGCGATTGAAAAGTTCGGGAAAGCTAAGTTGTTGGATACTATATAATTAAGAATATCAAATGGTTTTCGAAGATTTAAATCGTTTTTCTGAAAAATATCACGAAAAGCACACAACTCATCAAATAACTCTATTGAATTTATATCTTTACTGTCGCCATCCTTTAGAGTAATTTCTAAATCGTTACAATGTTTTCTTAAAGCTTCTTTATTAATTTCCGGTAATTTATTTAAAAAATCGAAATTTTCAAAATATATTCTTAATTTTTCAAAGCGATCATTTGTGGAACATATTGCAACATCTAAAAGCGTATAAAACACACTAATTTTAAATTTTTCTTGTGGAGATCGTGGAGATTCGTCGTGTTGCTCGTAATCAAATTGTCGTTTCTTCTTTCGTTGTCGCACTTCCGAACTACTTTTAAATTCTTGTTCTCCATCCACCTCTTCGCTCAGTTCTTTTGCAGTTTTTAGAACATCCTCAAATTTTAGTTCTGACCGATAATCTTGCATAAATATTTTTAAATTTTCAATAGATTCTAAGGCCTGTGAAATATTTATATTTGGATCTTGAAGCATTTTACTCACAGGGTTTATTCTATTGAGCAAGTCATGCCAAATTATGAGAGAGCAAATAAATTTGTAATCCTTTATTTTTAAACATAATACTTGTGCTTCATGTTGAATTTCTTTATTAAAATTTTCATTATTTACAATATCAAAAAGCGCATCATAAACTTCTCCTAATTGATAACGTAAGGGCCGAATTGCATTAATCCTACTTTCCCATCGTGTATCTGAAGGTTGCTTTAAAGTTAAATTTGTAACGTATCTTAAAAGTATTGCCCAACGATTAGAAGAAGATGAAAAATAATTATATAATTCTTGAATTATATTAAAAAAACTAATTGTATCAGTATTTACTTTAGCTGCATCGTTAATCATTAAATTTAGAGTGTGCGCTGCACAAGGTACGAAAAAAGCTCTAGGATTTTTAGTTAAAAGTAATTTTTGCAGCCCATTATTTTTCCCTTTCATATTTGCTCCATTGTCATAACCCGGACCACGCATGTCTTCAATGGGAATGTTCCATTTTTTCAAATTATCTATTATTGTAGAACATAAACCACGCCCTGTGGAATCGGTTATATCAACAAAGCCCAAAAAATTTTCCCTTATTTTTACAACTTCATTCTCAAAAGAAACAAATCGAACAATAATTATCATCTGTTCTGTTTTACTTGCATCAGGTGTACAATCTAATATTATTGAATAATATTTAGATTTTCGTAGCGAGAGTAAAATTTTATCCCTTATCGCTTTACTTAAAATTTCTAACTGTTCATTTTGGCTTTTCTTACTCAAATAGTGAACTTTATTGTTCGGTTGAAGAGCTCTATGAATATGATTTTCTATAACTGGATCAAATTTTGCAAACAGCTCAATTAATTTTAAGAAATTGCCGTTGTTGCTCTCATATAATTTATCAGATGATCCTCGAAAGGCTATATTTTGGCTAGCAAGAAATTTTATTATTTCTATAATGCGTTCTAAAGCACTCCTCCAATGCCTCTTTTCCATCTCATATAAGCTTTGAGTCTGATAATCAATCGTGGTTTTGTTTTTTAAGCTCTTATCTAAGTCTTTCCATTGTAAAAAATTTCTCATATGAGTTAGGTTAGTCTCATGTCTATGCAAACTTGTACTAAGATTTCTCCAATCGCTATAACCATCTAAAAAACTATTAGTTTCGTTAGATGCAAAGAGTTTACAACAAAAACAAAAAACCCGATCCAATTTTTCAGAATAAATAAGCCATGTTCTAGGCACCAACTCCCCGTTTTCCATTTTTCTATTATAATATGAATAATTAAATTTGCGACCGTGAGTATCCTTGGGATAAATAATATTTTTCTTTTGAATAGGACCCATTTCAACTAATTCAACTCGCAGTTTTCCGTCAATAATGCCCCATTCAGCGGGGTCTTCTAAATTTTTAATTATTACCGTTTCCTCAGTTTCGTCTGCAACTACATTTAAATCTAACCGCTGCGATTCACTTGAATCATGTTGTGGTATAGAACAATCGTTAGAAAAACTTGTTGAAGAACACGGTTCGATAACACTTATTTCTTCTAAATCAACTTCACTACAACCTGTGTCAGACTTTTTAATTTTTTTAATAAAGTTGCTAAGAGTTCCTGCTTGTTTTTGAATATCTGCTTCTTTTACAGCTTTTCGCTTGCGGAATTGAGCACCAGATAATTTCTTTTTTGATTCCATGCTTACTTTTAACGCAAAAAACTTAAATATTAAAACTTATCACTCAAAATATTTAATAGAATAACGATTCACTAATTCACTAAAAATAACAATTCACTAATTTGCGCAGTTATTAGAACGCTTAATGCCTTATCCTTAGCAATACTCTCGCCAAATGAACGTATACTACTGTTTCATATTTGGAACTTTCTTATATAATTATCAAGATGACCATTATTTAGAATTAGGAACAATGTTATCTTCATACAACGTAAAGCATTGTTATCTTTTGATCGATTCATCCAAGCTCCTGCACGTGTGACATCGATAATCAAGCAATAACATATTAATATAAACAGTGCTTATTGTACAAACTATGGTCTTATTTGTGAGCTTGTATAATGCGCTTGTTTTAATAATATAAAAGTATGTTTGAAATTTTCAAATTAAAATAATTGTGAGTGATTTATAAATTGATGCCAAATTATTATATAATATTACAAAATATTATTTTTTTATACTATGTTAATTTAGGTTATTTATTATAATTTATTTAACTTATTAAGTATTCTACAAAATCTATATTTCAATAAAAATAAACATTAAATCCAAAGCTCGAAATTGCGCCCCCCTAAGGCTTGCGCCCGCATTTCTTGCATGCATTGCATGCAAGGTAGGACCGGCCCTACCCTTATCTTTGAAACCTTTTGAAACACCCGTTCCAACGCATCTCTTTGAAGATGCTTGTTGCGATATACCGGCAAGTTACAGGCATATAAACAAAGCTCTCCCCCTTAAAAGAATCAAATAATAATTCAATTTGTTCTTTAGTCCACTTCTCTATTTTTTCTTATGTATTACCTAAATAAACTAACTAACGCAGAAAAACACTAAATAAACACAGACACGGTATGGCCAAGTTGTCATAGCCAAGCTGTCAAACACACGTGATACACCATGTGACAAAGTACTGCTTTCCGATTGGTTCGAACAATCAAAATTGTCATAAAAGATCAGAAAGTATCACATTGTGTTTACAATGGACAGAAAAAAGTTTTATGCACATGCAATTGTTCATGAATTAAAAGGTAAAAGCAACGATTTTGATTTCCAAGAAGAGTAGCAAATATATCCTGAATTTAAACACTATATTGGGATGCTGCTCAAATTATTTAGCGAAGAATATTATATCACTAACTCTCAATGGAAATGCAATAAAATATTAGGCATGAGATAGCTTTGCTTTATAAGTCCTCACAATGTAATAAATAAAGTTATTAAATATAACAATAAACTTATATTAAAACCATTTTCATCAAACAAAAATAAAATTATATGAATGCCACCAAGATGTGAAGTGATCATCTATTATTTGATAGTGTCAAAAGAACCCAGATGTATTCAATGCAGGCCATAAAAAGGAAAAAAGTAAGTAAAGAAAAATAAAAAATGAAATATTGAAAAACAAATTAAAAAAAAAAATTAAAAAATAAAATAAAAAGAATCTGCCTTTAAGTTCCTTTCAACAATTTATTAAATCAAAGAGAGATAATCTTAAAATTGATATAGAAATTACACAGACCACACCGGCAAGAAACAGGATGCAAAACTAGAAATATTTATGAAATGCATTATACTGAAACCATTTTATATTGTAATAATGAAAAAAACTAAAATCAATTAAAAATAATTTCCCATTCGGCAAGAAGATAACATAAAGCCCTCTTAATGTTAACATTATTCAAGATCTGATATCAGTAATGATGACCAAAAAGATAACATAAAGTTAACATAAAACTCTCTTATGAGCCATTTAGTGTCATCTTTAAGAGATCATCGAAAAGATATCAGAAAGATAACATTTTTCAGAGATCATAATGTTAACATTTTTCAGAGATCGTAATGTTAACATTTTTATGTTACAAATAAGAGGCTATTGTATAATTGATAATAAGGAAAAAATTGTTTAAATAATTTTTATTTGATAACACAATAAAAATAATATTACATTTACATATAAGTAATCTTATCAATATTTTTACGGTTCTAGTGATTATTATGATTATTTAGTGTTATTTAAGGCGATCGCCAGCATGTTGGAACCATGACTTGAAAACTTTTTCAATTCTTTCCTTATTAGAGGCACTCCATTTTTGTAAAACTGCATCTGAAAAATAGAATTATGAATAAAGTTACAGTTTTAAGATTGAAGTAATTCGTATTCTATTCAATATAATGAGACAAACTGAGTTATAAAATAACAAAAGTTTAGGAATTCCAAAGTTGCATTATTTGTAGGGTAGGCAAGCTTTACCTGTGATCAATTTTATAAATATTAAGCCGTCGATCTTAATCGTATTTTTGACACCTGTCCAACTCATGTTATAAGCCATAACATCAGAAACAGTCAACACCAACGCGTTCCTTGCATGCTTTTCAAAACTTGCACCGCCAAGCTGCTTAATATTTTCTCGCTTTGAAATAATAACAGAGAAAATCAGAGCAATGAAGATATAGTATTTAAAAACAATAAGTCTAAGACATAATTAAATAATAAGCAGAAATAAATTGATGAGTAATGAATAGAAATTTGATCATGCAATTAGGTTTATAGGTTCAAAGTTAAATTTGCAATAAGAAATATATATTGAGTAGCTGCGATGACATTTTGAATTTTCGTCTCAAATACTGCCAACTGACTCCGAGTTTGGATTGGCAATCCAAAATCTATTTTTTCCTTGACAGTATTATTGTTGGTAATGTCATTTTTTTCCGAGAGCGTCAAATAAATTGACGAAACCAAAGTTTTTAAACTTTTCATTTCGCTTAATAATTGCCCTGTCCATACATGACTATTGCAAAATTTATAATAACGATAATACAAATATAAATAAGAACATTTTAATTACTAAATTAATACTAACGACAACAGTCATGACCATGCGTATCCACCTCACTTGAAACAGAGAAAGACGTCTGGTCATCAGCTGGAAGTTCTGCACGAGGTCGAATAAAGATAGGAGACGGTTGTTCCATACTTGATCGACGAGAGGGATCTATTTTGATTCTAATCGGACTATCTATAAATAATAATTTTAAAATGACAAACATTAGAAAAAGTGAAATAAGTGTGTAAAAAAAATTAATGAGATAAAATTAAATTACTGGACGTTTTGATGCTTCTTATCTGAGGCATTGTACGCAGGCGTACATTAGATGAATCTTGAATAAATAAATAAAAATTGGATTAAGTCGATTAAATAAAATTAATAAAAAAAATCTTTTACATGCGACCATACCAATGCTATCAGAGTCGTTATTTAAACGAGGAGACTGAGGACTATCCTTCCGACAAAAATCAGAATCTTGTGCTAAATTTGCAGACGAACTTCCAATTGAGTCATCATCACTGCTATGACGAGTTGAAGTACAGCTTTTACTTGCTGTTAGTGACTTCTGACCATTATTTTGAGTCACGTAGGTAGTAGGAGGCATCTTAATATTATCAATTTCGCTTTTTGAAAATGAAGTGTTCGATTAATATGGAACGAAATGATTGTTTATAATTAAATAACTTCATATGTTCCATACCTTCACTTTCAGAAGAACTTAATACCGATGCTAGCTTTTTCTTACATTTAGTTTCTATATAATAAATAAAATTAATATTAAAATTATTACAGAAAAGACTTTAGGTAAAGATAAAATGAATACCTACTATTTTCTGTATCACAAAAGCGTGAAGGTTTACGGCACATTCTCTTTCTTTTGTCTGCTATATCTAATTTTTTATTAGCTTTAATAGCAGCAAAACCTTCATCATCATTTGTAGACAGATTTAATTGATAATTAAATAAATTATCTCACTATTGATATAATGTAATATATTATAGTAAATTAGATAATTAAATGCCTATAGTAAATTACTGCTAACATTAGCATATTCATAATTGTAAGCTCAAGTACAGAAATACATGAAGAGATTAGAAAAAAATATTTTTGATGAACGATTATATATTTAATTGCATAGTGTAAATAATTTTACCAAATGGACCGCTCAGTCAAATATACTTATAAGTGATCCAATTATCTTTAGGATTGTCAGCTCTAATGATTTGTAAGGTTAGGGTTCTTTGTTTTCGACCACTTAAACATTTGTGAATCTGAATCGACCCACGATTCCTGACGTTTTATTCCAAAACACCACAAAATACATCTTGTGTTGAATCTTAAAAAAAAATCAAATCAGAAATTGTAAATATTCATTAAATTTAGCGCATTCTACATTTTATTAGACACCTTAGAAAGATGATGCCGTAAAGGTTTTTTTTTTAATTAATCAAATCATTTATGTATTAATTCAATCAACAAAAATGTAAAAAAATATTTTTACTGCAATTAATTAAAAGAGCGACGGTCATTATGTTATAACAATTTTAAATAATTAAATTAGTTATAAAACGAAATGAAAAAAATGTGTTTATAACCTATATTCATTTCAAGCTCGCGAGAATGACCTGGTGCATTGTCCAAAACCAAATGTATTTTAAAGTCTAAATTTTGTTCTTTTACTTAAGCTTCAACTTCAGAAACAAAACAATTCTTGAACCAGTCACAAAAAACAGCACTTGTAACCCACGCTTTCTTATTAGCGCGCCAAAACACAGGCAGATCGCCTTTGTTCTCATTTTTTAAAGCCCGAGGATTTAAAGATCTGTAAAGCATTAGTAGTTTAATTACACAACCACCAGATGCAATAGAACATAGTAATAGTGTAACCCTATCTTTTGCTGCTTTAAATCAAGCAACACTTTTTTCATTTTTCGAAACGAATGTTTTATTTGGCATCTTCTTCCAAAACAATGCAGTTTCATCTGCATTAAATACTTGCTCCGGTTTGTATCCACCATCAGCTATTGCTCTTGCAAACTCTTCTGAATATCTTTCTGCTGCGGAGGTGTCTGCAGATGTAGCTTCTCCAACGATTTTAATACTATGCAATGATTGCCTTAAATTTATGG